AAAAAAATTTTAAGTGCATACAATTTTTCAATACATTCATGAAAGTGCATACTATAAAAAATGGAAAGCTTTAATAACTAACCAAAATAAATTTAGGGGTTTTAAGATTTATTTGTATTAGAAAGTCAGATTTACGGAGACAAAAAAGTCTTCCATCAGCAGATTTAATCCCCATAGGGCGCAACAGCTGGAGCTGAGCTGATCCAAAGCCAGGTGCTTCTTTCAGATCTCCCACACAGATATAAAGTCCCAAAGGCTTTGGACTGCCCTCAACTGCTTTCTCAAGCCAGAACCACGGAGCTGGATGGGTAATAGAGCAGCTGGAACACAAACCAGTGCCCATGTGAGATCTCAGCGCATGCAAGGCAAGGACTTTAGCCACTACGCTATCATCCGGGCCCAATAAATTTAGTTTTAGTTCAATCGTTCACAAATGTTTGAAAATATCCACAAGAGTTAAAAATTAGATTGAGGCCCAGTGGTGTGGCCTAGCAGATAAAGCCCTCACCTTGAAAGCCCCGGGATCCCATATGGGCTCCGGTTCTAATCCCAGCAGATCCACTTCCCATGCAGCTCCCTGCTTGTGGCCTGGGAAGGCAGTCAAGGACGGCCCAAGGCTTTGGGACCCTGCACCCGTGTGGGAGACCCGGAAGTAGTTCCTGGATCCTGGCTTCGAATCAGCATAGCATCGGCCGTTGCGCTCACTTGGGGAGTGAATCATCATCATCAGACAGAAGATCTTCTTCTCTGTATATCTGACTTTTCAATAAACAACTAAATCTTTTTAAAAAAGAAAAGAAAAGAAAATACTGAAGAGTAAAAATTTTTTAAAAAAATAAAAATATTTTTAAAAAATTAGATTAAAGTCCATGTCCTTGGTAAAGCCTTTCTTATTGATCCACACACCAATTCCCTTTTCCTGAACTATATTGTCTGAATAATCTGAGTACTGCTTCATTCTCCTGCTATTTTTATGTCAACTTATAATGTTATTATAAATGCTGTCTTTCATGAAATGTTTCATATTTGTAGAAGCTTTATTAAGACCTAAATGTGGGGCCCGGCAGCGTGGCCTAGCGGCTAAAGTCCTCACCTTGAACGCGCCAGGATCACAAAAGGGCTTCAGTTCTAATCCCAGCAGCCCCATTTCCCATCCAGCTCCCTGCTTGTGGCCTGGGAAAGCAGCTGAGCACGGCCCAGAGCTTAGGGATCCTGCTGGGAGACCTTGAGGAAGTTCCTGGCTCCTGGCTCCAGATCGGCACAGCACCAGTTGTTATGGTCACTTGTGTAGTGAATCATCAGATGGAAGATTCTCCTCTCTGTCTCTCCTCCTTTCTGTATATCTGACTTTGTAATAAAAATAAATAAATCTTTTAAAAAAAAAAAGACCCAAATGCGAAAAGAAGTTTGAGAATAGTGAACACGCTGACAAATACTATATTAAATTACTGCAAATTACATAAGATTATTAGACATTTTGTTTCTAGCAAGTAGTTACACAAAAAATATTCTTTAAACATAGTAAAATTTCTCAAGAAAAAGTGAAAATTTCACATAAATTTTAGAAATTTAAAATACTTTAAATAGGAACAGATACTGTGGCATAATAGACTAAGCCTCCACCTGCAGTGCCAGTATTCCATATGGGCTCCAGCTGAACTCCCAGCTGTTCCACTTCTGATACAGCTCCCCACTACAGTTTCTGGAAAAGAAAAAGTACTAAAGTCTCTGCACACATGTGAGAGATGCAGAAGCTCCTGGCTCCTGGTTACAGCCTGACTCAGACTCTATCTTTGTGGCCATTTGGGGAGGTGTACCAGTGGATGGAAGATTCTCTGTCTCTCCTCCTCTCTATCTCTGCCTTTCAAAGAAATAAAAAATAAATAGTAGGGGAAAAAATGAGAGAAGCTGGGTGCCGGTTCTAATCCCATCAGCCCCACTTCCCATCCAGCTCCCTGCTAATGGCCTGGGAAAGCAGTCAAGGACAGATCAAGGCCTTGGGACCCTGCACCTACATGGGATACCTGGAAGAGGTTCCTGGCTCCTGGCTTCGGATTGGTGCAGCACCAGCTGTTGCACTCACGTGGGGAGTGAATCATCAGATGGAGAATGTTCCTCTCTGCCTCTCCTCCTCTCTGTATATCTGACTTTGTAATAAAAATAGATGAATCTTTAAAAAAAAAAAAAAAGTTTCCAGGCCCAGCGCGGTGGCGCAAGTGGTTAAAGGTCCTCGCCTTGCACGCCCGGGATCCCACATGGGCGCCGATTCTAATCGCGGCAGCCCCACTTTCCTTCCAGCTCCCTGCCTGTGGCCTGGGAAAGCAGTCGAGGACGGCCCAAAGCTTTGGGACCCTGCACCCGCGTGGGAGACCCAGAGGAGTCTCCTGGCTTCAGATCGGCATAGCATCGGCCATTGCGCTCACTTGGGGAGTGAATCATCGGACGGAAGATCTTCCTCTCTGTCTCTCCTCTCTGTATATCTGCCTTTCCAATGAAAAAATAATAAAAATAAATCTTTAAAAAAAAAAAAGTTTCCACAGATCACAAGAAAACTGAGAAAGCTGAACAGCCTTTTGATGTATTTATCAGACAACATTAGCAAATACAATTGATAAATTATAAAAACTACATGAACAAGTTATAATAAAATGTTCACCTATATATACATTATAAGCAAAATAATTTCTCTAATTATATGATCACATCTCTCCTTCCCTCTGTAAATTTTTCTAATAAAAATAAATAAAAAGAAAGATAAATAGCATATCAATGGCTTCCTTCAACTACAGCCCTTCCACAAATTTCCCAAAATGTGAAAATGTGTTCCACTAAATAAATAATTCACCAAAAAGATTACACTCCATAGTCTAAAGCTAAAAACACATACACTAGCAATTTATTTGTGAGTGAAGATATCAATGTGTAGGTTTAATCAGAATTTCTTTTTCATGAAAGCCTTGGTTAGCTAAAACTAAAAAGGAAAATAGAAATGCACACTGCTCATGGTAAAGTACTTCCCTGTGTGCATTTTATATGAGACACACATAGAGATATTTATACCTGTCTGTGTGCAACATATTTCTTAATTTGGGATATAATGTGAAAAAGTTAAGACTGGTATGAGCTCAGAAATTGAGCTAAACATGTTCCTTCACCGTGGGACATCTCAGTCTTCAATGAATTCTAAGATTATTCCAGACCACAGGGAATTTTTCTATTAACCCAGCTCATGAGCACTCCTTGGAATGGAATTTAGGGAAGTATTTGCCTTTTGGAAACCAGGCCCTCAGAATTGTGATACATGATTTAAAACCAATGCTTAATTCTCACCTCTTTCAGAATACGCACAATCCAATGTCTCATCTTACCTGCAGTTTCTCCATGATTTGATCAAACTTAGCATAATTCTAATTTGGTAATCTTGAATAGGTAAACCCTCTGACTTCCAATCAGCTCTATCAGATATTGACTGTAGTTACTGGCCTTGCAATCTTAGGCAATCTCTTTCTCAGCTTCCTTGTGTGATAGGAGAATAATGGGTTTGAGGACTGAGATAATGAACAGAAAGCATTTGCTCCAGATTCTAACACGTAATATGTATTTCACACATGTATCTACGGCTGTCAAAATAATACTATCACATCTCCAAAAACAATTATGACGGAGGAAAGAACCAAAAACACTATGCTGCCGCCTAGTGGGCATTATGATTTTTCTTTAGTTTGCTTTTTAAAATTTGTTTCTGCTTGAGATGCAATCACCAAAATCAAGCAAGAGGCCTATACTTTGAAATCTGGTTCACACCGCAAAACACACAAGTCAGGACTGGACCAGGAACTCCTTTCAATGCCCCGTGTGGTGGTGGGGCCCACGCTTGTGCATGATCTGCCGCCTCCCAGGGTGCTCGAGCAGGGAGCTGGATGGGAAGGGAAGCAGACCGATTACACCCAGGTGGCTTCACTCACTACCTCGGGATGGGCTTCCATGCTGGCACACGGCGTGAAGCCGTGCAAAAGGATTAAAATATTTCCTCAGGAGAGAAGATAGGGTGGAAACTATAATTACTACACATGAAAGTTCATTCCCTCTATATACAGTTTAAAAAGCTAAAAAAGAAAAAACTCTCAAGCTAAATTAGCACACTTTACAAATCAACAATAGAACATCTGATTTTTCAGAAACATTCAGTTAATTATCCACAAGCCACAGCTGAAATTGAAACAGAAGGTTACCCTAAGCACTCAAACCGCCCGAAGAAGTGGTTAGAGAGAACTGAATTAGAGGGAATTTCACCTGCAGACAATCTGCTGGTTTTCAAGCCGAAATCTTTCACCAAGGGTTTTTCCTTAAAAACACCAAAAGACAACTACTACATCTACTACAGCTAAGACAAAACAGCAAAAAATCAAAAGTTAAGGGGACCTCCACATATTTTCCAAGGCGAAGATCCTATTTAGTTCTTCCCATACGGAAGGCAGCAATCCTTAGGGACTCAGACACTTCGAGGGCAGCGCGTTGCGCTTGCAATGATTTTTCACCCTACACGGAACACATTCTGCAAAATAACATCGACCAGAGACAGACACTGAACTCACCCACAGCTGAGGATGCTGCAAGCTGTGAGTACCAGACTCGGCACATTCTCACTAAAATAGCCTAAAACTACCACACGGCACTCACTAAAAATTACCACAGGGCATTCACGTCATAAATACGCGGCTGAACACGGAGCCCGAAGCACACCTGGGCACATAGAGGCCATTCATGGTGACAAGGAGTCCAGACACTCAGCCTCCACAGCGTGTCCAGAGAAGCAACAAGAAGCTTCTAGAAGAAAGGCTGCCCGCTTCCCTGAGGCAGCAGGGTGGAAGGTTCTAGACACATCCTGATGGAAGACTCAGGCAAGCCGAGCCGCGGTGGTACGCAACAAGGAGCCAGGAAGTTAGGCCGTCAAATTTCCAGGTGAGGAAATTACGGCCACCTCCCCCATAGCCGCCTACCTGTTGGCGTCCACTCTCTTCCTCGGGGAAAGCCTAGCGCTTCTGCTGATCACTTCCGCTTCCGCCTCACGCTAGCCCGCCCCCCTCGGGTCCTTCCGGTCTCCCTGGTCAGCCGGGATTGACGCAGGCTCCTGGGAGGCCGCCTCTGGAGGTTTCATGTTTTTCTCTATGTGAAACATTTGTTGGCTGGGATATCGTGTTGTTTTTAAAGTCTTTGGAAGGGTAAAGGAAGAGCCACGTGTTACTTGTTGGAAACACTAGAAAGCATGAGGATAGATTCAGGAGAGAATAAAGACTTGATTAATCCCTTCTAATACTCTTTAATGTTTGTCTCATGTAAATGTGTGGCCTGTTCAAAAAATTAAATGTCGCTTTTTTTTTTTTTTGATGAAACATTAAAAGAAAAAAAATGGCTGTACCTCTAACCAGGCCACTGATATCACTTATCTGTTTGAATATCTGTTGAGCATCTTTCAAATATGAATTCAATGTTTCAAGCCTATATGATACCACCAAACATAAATGGAAGGCTCCAACCCTGAATTTTTAACAATATTTTCAAGTAAAAATCTGTCTGGAACGCATTTTACTCTCTCACTTCTGAAAACCTAAGTCCAGCTGTTTTAGGAAGATGATCCCTGACAACCCTGTAGGAACACCTACATACACAACCTACTGTTATCTTGTTCTTATAAAGCTTGGGGTTTTTTTTTTTTTTTTTTTGAAAAGAGGTTTATTTGTTTTTATTGACACAGCAGATTTAGAGGGAGTAGGAAAGAAAGACAAAGATATTCCATCCACTGGTTCACTCCCCAAATGGCTACAATGGTCAGAGCTGAGCCAATCCAAAACCAGGAGCCAGGAGCCTCCCTTCAAGGCCTCCCTTGTGGGTGCAGGGTGCTAAGGCTTTAGGCCATTCTCCACTGCTTTCCCAGGCTACCAGCAGGGAGCTGGAAGAGGAGTGGAGCAGTGGGGACACAAAGCAGCACCCAGATGGGGGATGCTGCCATGTGGATGTGAAGGATTAGCAGTTAAGACATTGTGCTGGCCCCTACACAACCTACTTTTAACATAATCATCATTGAACATGGTGTCTTTATTGGCTCTGTCTTAGAACACAAACTCCATGAAAGCAGAAATAAATTTTATTCACTTTTACAACCAGATTCTAGTGTAATGCCTGGCATGTATATATCAGCTAACTGAAGTGAATGAATGGATGAAGTGTAAACTTGCAATCTGATGTGTGCTAATCCGAACAGCTGTGTTCTAACAACCACTCATGTTTCTTGGTAGTTTACTATGCACCTGATTATGAGCTATAATCTCATTTTAATCTCTGTGGCAATCCTACTGCCATATGCATTTTGCATATTAGGAAATAAAGACACGTAGAGGTTAATGAGTTGAACTTAAACATTTTTTAATCCGCTTGTAACTCTATGAAATTGTTCCAGGGATCAGTGCAATGGCTCCAATGTTTACTGTCCTCTCCAAAATTCAGGCTGAAACTTAATCCCCAATGCAACAGAATTAGAAGGTGTTGCCTTTATGCAGTGAGTCATAAGGGCAGAGTTCTAAAGAATAGGATTAGGTAGCTTCATAAAAGGGCTTTAGAGATGATATTCAGTTGTTTTGTTTTGTTTCTTTATTTGTTTTTATCCGCTCTATCATTTCCACCCTTTGTAAGCACCCAGCTTTCCACCCACCTGGATGTTTCAGGAAGAAGGCCACACTTTGGCTTTTTTGTTATTTTTTTTAAGATTTATTTATAATTATTGGAAAGGCGAATATACAGAGAGAAGGAGAGAGAAAGGAAGATCTTCTGTCCAATGGTTCACTCCTCAAGTGGCCACAGCGACTGGAGCCGAATGAATCTGAAGCCAGGAGCCAGGAGCCAGGAGCTCTTCTGGGTCTCCCACACAGTTGCAGGGTCCCAAGGCTTTGGGCCATCCTCGAATTCTTTCCCAGGCCACAAACAGGAAGCTGGATGGGAAGTGGAGCCACTGGAATTAGAACCAGCGACCATATGGTATCCTGCCACGTGCAAGGCAAAGACTTTAACCACTACACTATAGCACCAGTCCCCAGAAGGTCACACTTTGAAAGCAAAGAGCAGTCATTACCAGGCACATATCCTGTCAGCACTCTGATCTTGAACTATCCAGCCTCAAGTTTTGAAATAATCATTTTGAAAAAGTTTTCTATTTAGACACCTATGTGGTATGTCAATAAATCCAAACCCTTCACAATCCTGAAAAAAGAAGTACACTGCTTCAATGCATAAAAAACACGAGTAATTGCATGTCTTCCAGTTCCCTGTATGGAAAGAGCAATGGAGGCTGGCCAAAGCGTCTGGACCCATGCCACCCCCATGGGAGAGCTCGAGAAGATCCTAGCCATAGCCTAGCCCAGCCCTGGCTATCAAAGCCATCTAGGGCATTAAACAAATGGATGAAAGATCTCTTTCTATCTGTAAATCTTTCAAATTACAAATGAATAAATCTTTTTTCAAAGACAGCATAGCCCCGTGCAATAGCTCAAAGGCTAAATCCCCACCTTGCAAGTGCCAGAATCCCATACGGGCACCAGTTTGTGTCCTAGCAATTCCACTTCCCATCTAGCTCCCTGCTGGTGGCCTGGGAAAGCAGTCCAGGACAGCCCAAAGCCTTGGGGACCCTGCACCCCCATGGGAGACCCGGCAGAGCCTCCTGGCTGGTGACTTCGGATCACCTCAGCTCAGTCATTTGCAGCCATTTGGGGAGTGAACCATTGGATGGAAGATGGTTCTCTGTCTCTCCTCTTTGAATGAATCTGATCTGCCTTTCCAATACAAATAAATAAATCTTTTTTTTAATTGCATAAATTCTAAAGGCCCATACTTTCAAGCTAAAACTACATACATTTGCCTTTAACCACATTTGAAATCTCTTACACAGAATGAATGTCTATGAAATGATAATCCTCGTAGCTCCTCAAAGAATGACAAACCAAAATCAACATAAGGTAGAGTTTTACTTGTTAACTAGCAAATTGTCTTATTGCAGCACATATAATACTTAGTACTGCTAAAGTGAGCCAGTTAGTCATGCCTAAAAGTAATGCAATAAAGCATAAGACAACCTATAAAGATGGCATTTTTTTTCACTTACTCCTGGGAATTTGCAACATAAGAAAAAAACCACAGGCACCAAGATATGAAGGTATTATCTATAGTAAAGTAAAATTGATAATACCCTAAGTATTAAAAGAATGTTTAAGTAAATAATAATATATTAAAATGGTACTTTATTTTATTATTATTTTTTTTTAATTGTAGAGGCAGACATATAGAGGGAAGGAGACACAGAGAGAAATATCTTCCAACCACTAGTCCATTCCCCAAGTGCTGATCTGAAGCCAGGAGCCAGGAGCTTCTTCTGGATCTCCCACGCAGGTGCAGGGTCCCAAGGCTTTGGGGCCGTCCTCAACTACTTTCCCAGGCCATAGACAGGGAGCTGGATGGGAAGTGGGACAACTGGAACATGAACCAATGCCCATATAGGATTCCAATGGATGCAACGAGGATAGCCACTCAGCTATCGCACCAGGGCCCTTGTTTAATTTTAAATCCCCAGATGTTAGCACAAAGGGCTAGGGGTTAGCACATTGGATAGCATGTAGCAGGGGGACATCAGAGAAAATGGCCTAACCCAAACTTAAACTTACTAGTTAATGTACTAGATCTTTCTGAGCCTCAAAATTCACATTAGTGAAATGGGAATAATGCCAGTTCCCAACTGTAAGATATTCATGTGATAGATACACTGCATGAGGTGGATAGTATAGTGCCCAGCTAGTGTTCAACAAGTTCTGACTGCTATCGCTATTATATTAACTGATTCCACAAATTAATGAATAAGTGAGTAAATGTATTTTAGATGACTACTCAGGTATCTAAATTCAACCCAAAATAATGGCAAGTTCTTTCACTTCTGTACTCTTTTTTTCCTTCTGTTCTCTCTCCCTAATTTTTTTTTTCCCTAGTTAGTTTAACTACTGGGGCTGGTGCCATGGCATAGTAAGCTAAGTCTCCACCTATGAATCTGACATCCCATATGGGTACCAATTCATGTTCCAGTGGCTCCACTTCCTATCCAGCTCCATGCTTAAGGACTAAGAAAGCTGTGGAGGATGATTGAAGTCCTTGGGCCTCTGCACTACTAGAGGAGACCCAGAGGAAGCTCGTGGCTCCTGGCTTTGGATTGGCTCAGCTTGGGCAATTTCAGCCATTTGGGGAGTGAACCAGCAGGTGTCTCTGTTTTTCCTTCTCTCTGTAGCTCTACTTTTCAAATACAAATGAAATCAAATAAAAATTAGTGTAGCTACTTATATGAAAGCTAAAATCTTTTTTAACTGCACAGTCTATTTTTTCCATAAAAAGATTGTGAATATTATCCTGTGGAATTGCTTTTACATTCAACATAGATTAAAGACTTAGAATGTGTTGATCCAATCCTAAACATAATTGCCAGAAAGTGAAAGTGTGTCCTTTTTACTTGATGTCAGAAAGGGAGTTCTCATATTTACATGTCTCCCAATCCAGATTCTCTATGATCATAGTTTTCATGTCCTGTATTAATAGGCCTGCAGCTAGTTAGAGTTTGTTGTAAATGAACACAGTGACTCCCTAGGAGAATAGGATATAATATCTACATCAAAATATAATGTACAATGCACAAAGTGACTGAACATGTTTCTACTGCCTGCTTAAGTATGGAAGTGAAAACAAGTGATTACAACTTGTTTAGCTATAGTACTTAACACATTTGATTGGTGTTATTTGTTTTCATGTTTGTTTGAAGAAATTATATCTTAGTCATCTTTTTTATACTTATTTATTTATTTGAAAGGCAAAGAGATGTACCACTCCCATCTGCGGGTTTACTCCCAAGACATTGCAATGATGGGGGACTAAACAAGGTCAACGGCTCACCAGGTGCCAGGAACACTGGTTCCAAAGGCTAATCCTCCACCTGCCAACTCCAGCATTCATGTCCCTGCTGCTCCACTTCTTACCCAGCTCTCTGCTTCTGACCTGAGAAAGTCCTTGGG